TAAAAAAATGATACATGGATTGATCATTGTACTTCTCTACCTAGAAACTAAGAAGTGATACATGTATCAATTCTTTTAACCAACTTAGAGGTGATACATGTAATATTGTATGAAATCCTTGATGGCTCCATACATATTGACCCATGTCTCACAACAATGGTGTGGAAACACAACTCCAAAATATCATCAAGCTGAGCTCTGTCATTCTCTGACACCAATTCAAGATTTTTTATGAACATCAAATGTCAAGGTTGATAACGCATATTGCTATGAATGCATGCATTGCTTAACTTAACAAGAAGTTCAACGTGACATCAATGTATCACCCCCCAAAAATTGTATCCACAATAGGGTTCCCAATTTGAACCAAAAATTGTAACACAAGGTATCCAACACACTACAAGGTCCTAACACAAACGTAACGTGAAACTTATCATCACCGCATGCATTAATCTAGTCTACATGTCCACAAATCTTGTCTCATTGAAGAGAGACATAGATAGTCTTACTAATCCTCAAGTCAAGCCTCATTATCAATAATAGACATAAATATTACCATTCCAAACAATAAAATACCAACATAAACAAATATGGTGCACAAAGATAAAGCCAAGATGTAGATATATCAATCACAACAAACATAAATAATTATCCTTCACCTCAAAAATATAAGTCAAAGGGGGTTTAGGGTTTAAGGATTTAGAGTAATAACATAACCTCATGAGGACAATAAAAAAATTTTAAAACTTAAATTTAAAGTTTTAATCTTTTATTTTTATTTTTTTCAATAATTAATATTACAAAATATTCAATGTATCTCCACCAAAGTATGCAAATTTTTTTTTTATAAACAGACACCATTACATCTTTTTTGATAATTCTAAATCTTTGATAAAAATTTAAGACCACTAAATGGATGAATTTTAACACCAATGTCGCTATGCAATAGGTCTCTAGAAACACATGAATTACTTTATATGTTGTATGATTCTATCAAATTTTGGATCAGACAGATATTATATAATAATCTTTCATCCTTCCCGTCCTATTTTCAATGCAAAAACTTTAAAAGATCAATTTTTAAACTACAATCATTTTTATTCTTGATCGTCTTTAGCACTATCAATCTTCAATACCAACATTGCTATGAGCATTGACTTTGTCACTTTATGGCAATAATTTTTTCCTCAAAATTTTCCTTTTGAAAATTGAGCACACTCAATGCAAAAAACATAACTTGGAAATCAATGACACAAACTTCAAATTGCTTCTAATTTCAAATCATCACTAGATGCTTCATCCTATTTGTGTGATGCATACTCAACATCAACTCAATTAAAGACATCATTGATCAAAACTTGTTATAACACCTTAGTGCTCCATGAACTTATAGTTCTCTCCACATAATCAAATTGAAGTTTTGGATTTAATCTATTCTCAAATTGTTCACAATGGCACCCAGCTCACAACCATAACATAAAAAAGAGAATACAATTGAACCAAACTCACTTTGAGTTTAAAAACTTGAAGTACTTGCACTAGCTAATGTTCCAACATAGCAGCATTCTCAACTTCTAGAGCTGACCTTCTATGAGACCTAATCTTTACTCTATGAATCCTAGTCTCCTAATGGTGCTACTGATTTTAACGGCACGTCCTACTTGCACTACTAACTGGAACTGTTGTATTGTTTCTTGTATGCACACACCAACCTAAACTAGGGTGCTGCTATATAAATGGTGACAAAAGATATGAATTCAATTTGTTAGTGTTATGTGATGTGGTAAGCTTCCACACTTAAACAACTGTATTAGACAGTTATTTCTTGTAAAATAGCCTCCATGAATCCTTAGGCAGAAACAATTGTGTTACTTGATAAAGTCCAAGTTAAAAACATTGGTTGGTAACTTTATTATACCTTCTGGAGTAAACCGAAAATGATAGGTGAAAGCAAATTACTTAGGATGCAAATTTCAATGACATGCCATCAATGTAGATCCTAATAAGACTTTGACACTTTCCTTTCTAGGAAATGGCAGGCGGATTAATTTCTAACCTGGGTAAACCGTTAAAGATACATACAACGGGAGCAAAAGGTTAAAAGTTCGAACCTTTTAATTCGATATGTCTCATAAGTGTGACTAACTTTCATCGTCCTTGTCGGGTTTTCTCTGAAGATACTTCTGGCGTTTTCATACTCCTTGTAATTTCTCGGTTATTCCACATTTGCAAGAGTAAAACAGTGTGATACTAATTTCAAACTCGTCAAACTCAGCTTTAACGCTATTCTTATTAGCGAATTGAATAACGTTAAAGTTGGTCGACGTCATGAAACGAAAGAAGTGATTGGGCGTGACGAAGTTGTCACAATCCTGCCTGCTAGAAATATGTGAGAGCACTTTTAGAAGTTATATATTTAGGATTGTTATATATGGATGAACCTTAATGAAGCATACTTTAGGAAATTGAGTTGGTTGGGATGGAACTTATTGTTTGAGAGTCGATATCACATCAACTAACCCTGTGAACATCCCGAACATTTGACCACCTTGTGCGGGTCAATACAAGAAGGAATTGCATTTATCCCTTCGCAGAATCGCGTCTGCACTCCTGTCTGTACCCGTGGAGACCCTCCCTCCCCGACCCTAAGCAAAAGACGGAGAAATAGGATAGTGGATACTTCCGATTTAATGGGATAATGGATACTTATTTTCTTGACAGTTTCAAGAGGCTTTACATTCACTCTCAGTGGATCCGGTCATTCCTCGGACTACTAGAGCTCATCTACGCTCTTACTCGGGCAAGGATGCAGGCTCGTGGATCTTGGCTCGACCTTGCATTAGGGCTTTCCGACTTGCACTAGCTACTTTCTCCACAGCGATGAGGTTCCGTCTTGGCTTGGTCCATCCATCTACATCTTCATTACTCACATGTGAGTGTGGTATCACTTTAGATGCAGCATGTGTTCATATGACTCGTTGTCCATTCGGATGGCAGAGGATAGCTACCCATGATGCCATTAGGGATGTGGTGTTTTCTATGGTGCGAGAGGGTGGATACCTCACATGGAGAGAGCGTTGGTATGCCTTGCAGTCGACTAGGGTTAGGCGGACACTGTACTTGGTTCGGGAGGACCAGGTCACTGTGGCTGATGTGGTGGTTACCGATCCTACTAGAGACACAGTTTCAGAGGGGGTGATCACCCTTCCTCCAAGATGGGCGGCGAGTGGAGCGGCGGCGATAAAGGTCTCAAGTATAGAGATATGCAGAGAGGTCACCTCTTTGTTCCTCTAGCTTTGGAGTTATATGGAGCTATGGACACCGACTTCAACATGTTCGTGAGGGAGTGCACGAGAGCCAAAACTTTGAAACATCAAATCTTGGACTTTGAGCACTTCTGTCCAAAATATTTTTTGGCCAATCTCAAATTAATGCCCCAAGACAACTATAAGCATCAACCCACTTTGTCAATTTTCAGCAGCGCTTCCGTCCTCGAAAATTCTTGATTCAGATTTACACTAAAACAAAAAATACAGAAATTCAAAATTGATCACATCTACTTCGAATCACCTTTACTTCTAGATCATCACCACGGGCTGCACTCCATCAACGCCCTGCACACTCAACAGCCAACATATCGAAGCTATCATCAATCCAAACTCGCCAAAACACCTTAAGCGCTCCAAGAACTCACAATTCTCACCACAAAATCCAATTTGAGTTTTCGAAGTAATCTTTTCTACTCTCAAAATGTAAAAGGACACTCCGCTCATAACCATAGTATAAAAGAGAGATTATAGTCAAGCCAAACCCACTTTGTGCTTCAAAGAGTCCAGGTTCCAGCACTAGCTACTATCCACCATAGCCACACTCTCAAAAGGCTCAACTTCGAAAACTGCACTCCAAGGAGCCCTAATTCGAACTCTACCCCTTGAGTCCTAGGACCCCTAACGGCGCTCTCAGCCCTAACGGTAATTCCAGTGCGAATGGCCCTAACTACACAACTGGCGAATGGCTCTAACTGTTGTATATGCTCATGCATACGCACACCTACCTAACTAGAGATGCCACTACATAAGTCTCGACAACATTGAGATGTAGTTTAGTCTCTTGTCCCTAGTAGTTTGGGTAATCTGCTCACTCGTTGAGCCTATGCAATGTATGCAGGTTGAGAGTTTCCATTATGGTCTTACCGTAATTTATGAACAACAGACTAAGAGCTTGACAATGTGTAGTCGTGGGCATCACCACATTCACACAATTAACTGCATGTCTAATTTAACGGAAAGAGACTTTAAATTGTCAGAGCAGTTTCTCATCTCGTACAATAGCGAGCGTACTTAGTAGTCTAAGGTTCAACCTTCTCTTCTATCCCCCTCTCTTCTATCCCCCCTCAACTACGCTTTTGGAGCATGTTGTGGTTCCCACCTATTTACACGGGATTTAGGTAAGCTCTATGCCGGACACGCAGACTAGGATCTCGTGTGGTTTGCTATATGGTGAGCATAGAATAACAATTCTTCTCCATATGGCCAAACAATGACTATAAGCGACACAAACTGTCACCCTAAATTTTACTACAATAGTACCGCAAACTTGGAAATTAATAACCAGAATGGCTAACCCAAGAAACAGAAAATATCAAAAAGTTCAAATTGATAGCAAGTAACATTAACTCTATTGGTAGGGGGTGGGGTGGGTCACATGCCCAATAGCAGAGACCTTCTCTCTTTTGTCAAGCACTACCAGCCTATGGGCATAAACTTTGAAGTTTCAGGTCCCAAAGGGCATGAGACCCAAACCTTAAGGGCCTTCGAGCACTCGGCCCTCTCCTTCTAGCATTGATGCACGGAAAATGTCAAGCCTTACCCTTTATCATTTGCATGCCCAAGAGGGGAAACAAAATCAAAATCTTTGTTTTGTTAGACAGTTTTTTGATTTTGTGGGTAGGTTGTTCCTTTTTTGTATTTTTTTTCTCACCCGTTTTTTTATCATCTTTTTTGGCGGGAGTTGGAATCGAACACACAACATTCAGATTATGAGTCTGAAAAGTTACCAATTACTCTATTATCAATTCCTTTGGTAGGGTACCGAAACTACCAAAGGAATTGACGGGGCTGCACAAGCGGTGGAGCATGTGGTTTAATTCAATTCAATGCGTAAAATCTTACTAGCCCTTGACATATGAATAAGTCTGCTTGTACTTAATGAGATGGTACCAAAGTTCTTATATCTAAGAAGTCAAAGGCCCCGTATTCGCTGCCTACCTGAAAGGGACTTATCAATAGAAAAGCGCTTGATAACACGAAGCAGGAAAGAGCCAATACATAGGATGATAAAATGGTGATGACAAAATGATCATGACATTAGTCTTAAATGAAAATATTTTTATATGCAAAAAAATATATCAATGAGTATTTTATTTATGCTAAATTTTTATAATTTGTAATTATAAAAATCTTTATAATTATAATTTAATGTTAAAAATAATTTTTATAAATAAATAATTTTTTAATTTTTTTTTTTTACTAATATGAAGATGATATGAATGATTTTTATTTTTTCTATGTGCATATGTTTATAACATATAGGTCTTTGACTTCAACTTTAATTAAGTAAAGCTTTGCACGGCATTGAACCAAATAGAAATCCTAATGAACACAAAATAATTGATATTACATTCATTTTATTTTTTAACTGCAAATATTTTTATGGAAGGTGACACAAAATTGTAGTAAAATATTATGTAGGTCTTTTAAATAAACCTTAATAAGTTTTCAAAAATGTTTTTGCTAATCATATTTTGAAAGATTTTAAAATAAAAATCAAGTATGTTTTATATGTGTGACTTTATCCATTTTATGTATATTAATCCTATAAAGTTACTTCATTCACATGTACATCTTTTTTCAAACTTGTACGAAATTTATTAATTTTGAATGCCATATTGCATTATTTCTTTAAATATAGTTAAAAGATAGATATATAAGTGTGATAGAGATGATGTGGATAGATATTGCAATATGTATAGATTAGTGATATTTGTGAAATCATAAGCGTCATTTACCACATGTATTTATTTGTATGAAATAATTATTTTCATATGTATATTGTGTGGATTCATTTATTTGCACATGATAATTAATTATGAAATGTGAATATTATTTTTGCTATATATAAAGTACATTTGAACAATTGTTTTAAAATTATTCTAGACTCTCTACTGCAAAAGATGTTGAATTCTACTATAAGATCACATGAAAAATATATAAATTTTTATGTGTGTTTGTTTAGATCCAGATTGGATTGTCTTGAACGTAGACGTTGAGAACACTTTTAATAGTGTCTCATGTGCATCCATCTTTAGAAAGCTTAGAAAGGTCGGTGGACCTTTGTAGAGCCTCATTCGTTTCGTACAATATATCTACCGTTCACATTCTTTTCTCTTTCATCCGCATGGCTTTTCATAGGAGGTAGTCACTGTTTTACAATCTACTATTGATAGCTAACAAAAAGATCCTTTGGGAGAATAACTTTTTGCCATGGCTCATTATAGAGATCTTCTGTCTATTGCTTTGGTTGTGCTAGGTTGTGTTTTTCACTCCTTAGCAGATCATACACATATTGAGGGCCATGTAAACCTCAAGCAGTACTTTGATTACTTGATTATCAAGCTTCATCTTGTGGGCTTGAGAATCAATGTGTCAAAGTGTAGGGCATAGTCTCCTTTAGGCATTACTCCTCATCTCTAGCTTCCAAAGGGATGTATGACATTGACAAACAATTTACGCATTCTAGGAGTGCAAGTAGGGTTTTGTCTACGCTACATAGACACTGCACTTGCTAAAGATGTCCTACATGTAGATGACCTTCCTCTACTAGGGAATACGCATGTGAAGTTTGATATACTCTCCTCCGGTATTTCTCATCAATCCACCTACATACTTCGCACGATTCCTCCTTCATATGCATTCATATCACGCTTGACATCCTTTGAAAGGAGGATCATGGGCATCTTCGGTGACATCATCGGACCAAGGATGTTCGAGTGTGTGATAGGAGAATTGGCATAGAGAAAAACATCTTTGTCAATTTTGTGTAGAGTAATAGACTTATTATCAATAGAGGAGACAACACCTATAGCATTTTTTATTAGTTGGCACCTATATTATCTTTCCGATTTGTTTATAGATAGATACATCCTAACAATAAAGTCCCTCCACACTTTCTTCTATTGGTAAATCGTTCTAATTTCTACATACGTGTTGAACAAAATTGGTGCGGGTGGTTCACGATTCAAATCCATTTAGTATAGAATGTAAATGGTATAATCCCACGTTTCTCCATAATTGATAATAGGAATTATCATTGGTACTCGTGATGCCATCACTTGAGCCATAAAATCTGCACCCCAATTTGCCACAAGGTATATTATGAAAACATCCTTCTCCATGAACCGAATATGGATGTTGAATAGTTTAGAAAATGGAAAGTTTGGTACATGATTTCTCTCATGCACATTCATACCTGCATCTCACAGTTTTCCCTTTCCCCCTTATTCTACATGCTAATCAAGGACCTTTGCCAGTCTTTATACAACTCTCAAGAACTTAAAGTTATCATCATCGTCTTGCTATTCCAAGAGGGATAATCCACACTCAAGGAAAGAGCAAGTTCACTTTGATACCATTTTAACACTAGGGAAGTGAGGAGAGACCACTCGAATAGCTCAAAAAATTCTGAAGTTGAGAGATGCCTCAATGGTTTCTCTTTCTCCATATATAGTACTCAAAAAGGTACAAACTAGATAAGGTTACATAACCACCATCCATTCAATTCCTCGTGGATTGATGACGTGGTGGTCATCCCTATGAGCACACGGATTGCTGACGTCTACTCCAACAAACAAACGAACTAACATACAAGAAACACAACCTAAAGAGCACACGGATTGCTGACTTTGTACCTTTATATACTCCACTAATAGTCAACTCAAGAGTATCTATCTCCTCCTTGCGTAACCTGTACTTTAGTCCTCACTAACTAAAGATGGTTACAATACTCCACTAATAGTCAACTCAAAACTATCTATCTCCACCTTGGGTAACCTCTACTTTAGTTTTCACTAACTAAAGATGGTTACAACAACCTCTAATGTTGGGTAAGGATGGATTGCTTGGTCTAGGTTTGCAAAAGAGCGATATGGAGAGATGTCCATTTCAGATTCAGACATCTCTTGGAGGTTCAAATGATGTTCCGGCACCATATATCATCCGGATGGAGTGGACATTGCAAGTGCAACTAGATCATGTCACGATTAGCTCTATAATGCAATCATGTGATGTAGTTACACTTGATGTATTTGGTGGGTGCGGCAGTGACCCAAAGGGGGTATAGCATTTATTATTGGGAGGAGACATCCTCTTATCAACCAAGTTGGCAATATGATGAGGATCAAGTAAATCGATTACTAGTACAATTCATTACCGGTTCTAGCCCTTTATCAAGTGGAGGTTTGATGTATATTGTAGCATTTAGTACTTGTGTTACTTGGTCTGGTGATTTATTGGAGGCCAACTTGGATGCATATTTCTTTTACATGAACTATTATGATAGAAGGGAGATGCTTTAGCCTGGAGGTATGACACGAACTCCCCTTTTTTTTCCTCTTTATCCATCGATTGGACTAGAGGCATGCAATCTACCTTGATGCACCAACAATTTCAGCATGCTCTACACTATCTCTTAGTGGATCTGACCATTCCTCGTACTACTAGGTCTCGTCTACGCTCTTGCTCTTGCTCTGGCAAGAGTGCAAGCTCGTGGATCTTGGTTGGATCATGCATTAGGATTTTCTGTCTCGCACCAACTACCTTTTCTACAACGATAATGTTCAAACTTGGCTTGGTCCACCCATTTGCATCTTAATTACCCATTTATGAGTGTGGTACTACCTTAGATGTAGCAAGGATCCATATGAGTCGTTGCCGATTCAGAGGGCAGACTATAGCTACATATGATGACATTAGAGATGTGGTATTTAGTATGGCACGAGAGGATGGATATGTCACATGGAGAGAGTGTTGGTATGCATTGTAATCGACTCAGGTTAGAACAGACCTATACTTGGTTTGGGAGCACCAATTATTGTTGTAGACTTCGTGGTTATAAATCCTACATGTGATAGTGTTTCGGAGGGTTGATTACCCATCCTTCTAGATGGGCAACTAGCGGAGTCGCATCAATCAAGGTTTCCAAGTATAGAGGTATGCAAAGATGTCATCTCTTTGTTCCTTTAGCTTTGAAGTTATATGGAGCTATGAACACTAACTTTACACCAACTTTGTGAAAGATTGCACGAGAGCATACCATAGTAGGCGATAGGGGTATTACTCTCTTTAGGTTATTGTATAGCTTTTTTAATCAAAATGTATCCATTGCTCTACATAGAGCACTAGCTTGTGCAATCTATAGAAGAGCAATCATGTTAGGTGATGATTCTTATGATGCTCGTGTTGTATGTAGACCCTTTGAATTATATACTTCATATATCTTAAGTGAACTAGAACATGTTTTCCATGGTGATGCTATTGGGGCATACTGCCATCTTACTCCTTTGATTTCATCCATGTACTCCTTGATGGAGTACATGGATAAGAGAGCGTTGGTATGCCTTGCAGTCGACTAGGGTTAGGGCAGACAATACTTGGTTTAGGAGGACTAGGTTACTATGGCGGATGTGGTGTTTATCGATCTTACTCGTGATACAGTTTCAGAGGGGATGATCACCCATCCTTCAGGATGGGCGATGAGTGGAACGGTAGCAACCATGGTCTCCAAGTATAGCGGTATGCAAAGAGGTCACCTCTTTGTTGCTCTAGCTTTTGGAGTTATATGGACATTGACTTTGAAATGTTCGTGAAGGAGTGCACGAGAGCCTACCATACTAGGCGATAAGGGATATCACTCTCTTTAAGTTATTGTATAACTTTTTTTAATTAAAATGTATCCATTGTTCTACATAAAGCACTAGCTCGTGCAATGAATAGTATAACATTCTGGTTAGATGATGT